TCTCTAGTCCGAATGACATCCCAATGTCAGTGCTGTAGATCCTGGTGGTGTGGATCAGTGAGTATATATATATATAATTTATTTTTTTTAACTGAAAGAAGGTGTCCATTTTCCTTCTGAACATGTTGTGCATGTTTCTGACAGGATTCTACTGGTTTAATTTAACTGGTGCAACATTAGTAGCTTTAGCATGAATTCCCCAGTTTAACCTTACTGAGCTCTGAATCTTTACAAAAATCTGGATTTGCCGTTTTCCTAGAGCAAACTGTGCAGATCATTTCTTCTTCATTAAGTTGGTGTTTGTCTTAAAATAGCTTCTAAGCTGAAGAAATTTTAAACAGATTTTTGTTTATTAAACTTGAAAACAAACTGACTGGATCCAGATCTGGGATTTTTCCCGCCGTTTGTCTTTCAGTTCAGTTTCACTTTATTTTGGTAAATTATCAGCATCACAGGAATCAGCAGCAGCTGTAAGCAGAGCTCTGGTTTCCTCTTCTCACACGTCCAGAACTCTGAAACAAAGAAGAGTCCAGAATCCAAACCGGGTCGGATCAGAACCAACAGGAGCGACTTTTCCCAACATGGATTCAGATCCACCTGAACGACTCCAGGAGCTCATGAGAGGATTAAAATAATGTTTTAATGTGGCAACATTCGGTCGTTATACGGAGTTCAGCTGAAGGTAAAAATATATTTATTATTCATAACATTCAGTTTATTGCAACACTAGACTGTTGGTTTCCATGACGACCCGGAGTCTGAACTCTGATCTCAGCGAGGGCTTCTGACAAGTCGGAGTCGCTGTCGGAGTCCGAAGACCCGGACCGGTCCTGGTACGCCACGTCTGCTTCACTGACAGCAGACAGAGTGGGAAAACAGACGTTCAGGGGTTTAAAATGGAGGATCAGAGCAGTGGGAGGAACTTTACCTGACCAGTTCTTACCTGTGAACGATGTCGAAGTCACTGCTGTCGTCCTGGTCCTGGACCTGCGAACCTCTGGCAGGCAAGGTTCTACTCTGCATCTCCGACCGGGCCGGGAGGCGGGCCGGGAGGCGGGACGCTGACCACAGGGTGAGCTGCTCATCATCACTGGAGTCTCTGAGGGGAACAGGAGGATCCGGGTCAGAACCACGAGGTTCCGGGTGAGAACCACGAGGTTCCGGGTCAGAACCACAAGGATTCGGGTCAGAATCAGGAGGAACCGGGTCTGAACCAGGAGAATCCGGGTCTGAACCAGGAGGATCCAGGTCTGAACCAGGAGGATCTGGATCTGAACCAGGAGGATTCGGGTCAGAATCAGGAGGAACCGGGTC